AGGACGAGGAGGAGGAGGAGGAGGAGGGGGAGGAGGAGGAAGAGGAGGAAGAAGAACAGGAGGAGGATGAGGAGGAGGAGGAGGAGGAGGAGAAGGAGAAGGTGAAGGAGGAAAAGGAGGAGGAGGAGGAAGAGGAGGAGGAGGAAGAGGAAATTCTGGGAGGATGTCTCGAGCGAAACGCTGATTTTTCAACGAAAGTGTATAAAAAACATGGGTTTTTCAATACTTTCGCTTCTTGGGCCATCTTGGGGGTCATCCGAAATCGCTCCGAAAAGATGCCTTGCAAGAGCTCTGTCGGCATCCCATTTTTTCGAGGATGTCTCGGACGAAACGCCCATGTTCGAGGATCCGAAAATTAGGCGAGCGATTTCGAGATCCCGATGTTTGGAGGATTTAGCAAACTACTTCTTAAGATACGACCCCCAACTTCTCGATTTTGCGAGGATGTCTCCAGCGAAACGCCATTTTTCAAAATCCGCCCCCTCCGAACCTTTCCTGACATGAACGGGAAGCGCGTGAAAGGGAAGAGTTACACAAGAACTTGCAGCATCATCGCCATCAAATGTAGTACAGGCGAGCTCTCCGAACGCTCACAAGGGATACGTATGGACACGCGCCCCCCGAACGTTCACAAGCAAATTCCTGAATATCCTCACCACTCCTCCGCATGAGGAAGACGACGGCGAAGACGACGACCGGTGAAGAAGGGAGAGGAGGAGGAGGATGAGGAGGAGGAGGAGGAGGAGGAGGAGGAGGAGGAGGAGGAGGGGAGGGGAGGAAGGGAGGAGGAGGAGGAGGAGGAGGAGGAGCAGCAGCATCAGCAGCAGCAGCAGCAGAAGAAGAGATGAGGAGGAGGGGGAGGAGGACGAGGAAGAGGAGGAACAGGAGCAGGAGGAGGAGGAAAAGGAGGACGAACAGGAGGAAGAGGAGGAGTTGGAGGAGAAAGAGGAGGAAGAGGAAGAGGAGAAGACCGAGGAGGAGGAGGAGGACGAGGAGGAGGAGGAAGGAGAAGTAGGAAGAAGGCGGGGAGGAGGAGGAGGAAAATGAGGAAGGGGACGAGGAGGAGGAGGAGGAGAAGGAGGAGGAGGAAGAAGAACAGAAGGAGGAGGAGGAGGAGGAGGAGGAGGAGGAGAAGGAGAAGGAGGAAAAGGAGGAGGAGGAAGAGGAGGAGGAGGAAGAGGACATTTTGGGAGGATGTCTCGAGCGAAACGCTGATTTTTCGACGAAAGTGTGTAAAACACATGGGTTTTTCAATACTTTCGCTTCTTGGGCCATCTTGGGGGTCATCCGAAATCGCTCCGAAAAGATGCCTTACAGGAGCTCTGTCGGCATCCCATTTTTTCGAGGATGTCTCGGGCGAAACGCCAATTTTCGAGGATCCGAAAATTAGGCGAGCGATTTCGAGCCCGATTTTTGAAGGACTTCCCGAGCGAAACGCTCATTTTTAGCAAAAGGCGTCTTAAGATACGACCCCCAACATCTCGATGTTGGGAGGATGTCTCGAGCGAAACGCTCGTTTTCAAAACCTTTCTTGACATGAACAGGAAGCGCGTGAAATCGAAGAGCTTGGCAAGAACGTGCACCAACATTAAAGTCATATGTCACGTAGGCGCTCTTTCCAAACGTTCACAAGGGGTACCAGGTGGAGTTCACTACCCGCGCAAGTTCAGACGTTGCGCTCACCCCGAACGTCCACAAAGGGTACCAGATGGAGGATGTCTCAGGCGAAATCGACATTTTCAAAAATCCGAAGGTTTCACCAACGATTTCAACATCTCAATTTTCTGAGGATGTCTCAGGCGAAACGCTCAGTTTTGGCATAAGAGGTCTGAAAGCAGCTTTTTCGACATCCCACTTTTTCGAGGATGTCGCAGGCGAGAGCCCCATTTACGAAGATCCGAAGATTTCGCGTCCGATTTCAACATCCGCATTTTGTGAGGGTGTCTTAGGCGAAATCGTCATTTTGAACATAAAACGTCATTTTCGAAGATCCGAAGGATTCGCAAGCGATCTCAACATCTGAATTTTCTGAGGATGTCTCAGGCGAAACGTTAATGTTTGGCCTAAAAAGTATTAGATCAGCTTTTTCGACATCCCACTTTTTCGAGGATGTCTCAGGCGAGAGCCCCATTTTCGAAGATCCGAAGATTTCGCGTCCGATTTCAACATCCGCATTTTGTGAGGATCTCTCAAGCGAAATCGTCATTTTTAACATAAAACGTCTTAAACGATAGCCTCCGACATCTCCATTTTGTGAGGATGTCTCAGGCGAAATGGCCATTCTGGTGAATCCGCCTGGGTCTGATCACGGAGCAATCTCGAGCCATTCCCCCCTCTGCATTCCCCCCAGTTGATAATATTTCCCTCCGGGTCTACAGCAACGTCCATCGCGCGACTCTTCGAGTCTAAGCGCGCTTCTCGTCATCCGCCTGGGTCTGATCACGGAGCAATCTCGAGCCATTCCCCCCTCTGCACTCCCCCCAGTTGATAATATTTCCCTCCGGGTCTACAGCAACGTCCATCGCGCGACTCTTCGAGTCTAAGCGCGCTTCCCGTCATCCGCCAGGGTCGTCCGAAGGAGGTACCCCGAGCCCTTCCCCTCCTGGACCTCCCCAGTTGATAAACTTCCCTCTGGGCCAGGACCAACGTCCATCGCGAGACTCTTCGAGTCTAAGCGCGCTTCCCGTCATCCGCCTGGGGCTGACGGAGGAGCAACCCGAGCCCTTCCCCCCTCTGCACTCCCCCAGTTGATAAATATTTCCCTCCGGGTCTACACCAACGTCCATCGCGCGACTCTTCGAGTCTAAGCGCGCTTCCCGTCATCCGCCACCTCGCGATCCGAGGGCAATCCCGCCACCACTCCCCCCTGGACCCCCCCACTTGATAAAATATTCCCCTCCGGGCCCGGGCCCGTAAGCAACGTCCATCGCGCGACTCTTCGAGTCTTAGCGCGCTTCCCGTCATCCCGCCACCACTCCCCCCCTGGACCCCCCCACTTGATAAATATTTCCCCTCCGGGCCCGTATACAACGTCCATCGCGCGACTCTTCGAGTCTTGGCGCGCTTCCCGTCATCCGCCAGGCTCTGTATCACGAGGCGGCCCCGCACGTTCCCCCTCCAGACCTCCCCCAGTTGATAAATAAATCCCTCTGGGCAAACAAACGTCCATCGCGCGACTCTTCGAGTCTTGGCGCGCTTCCCGTCATCCGCCGGCCCCCTTGTGGGGCCACCAGGCTGTAGGACCAAGGTTTGCTGTTCCCTGCGCCAATTCTAGTTTCCACTGTTACACTTCTGCTTCTTGCTGCTTACAGCTCCTTGTTGTTGGACCGCGACAGGGGGGGGGAGCCGAGAAGGAACCTAGTTACCACGCCCGAGTCGGGTGCTCTGAATTCCTGGGGTGGGCGTGGGACACGTAAAAAAGATACATGGAACTCGCGCCCCCGAGACCATAAACCCTTGAACAAATACACCAGATTCGCGTCCCCGAGGCCATAAACCCTCGCAGATTACGCTATATTCGCGTCCCCGAAACCATAAACCTTTACAAAATACACCATATTCGTGTCCCCGGAGCCATAAACCCTCGTAACTTAACAATGCTTGCGTCCCCGAGGCCACAAACGCTCGTAAATCATGCGATATTCTCCTCCGCGAAACCACTGGGAGTCTAGGGGCTTCCTAGCATGTCACAGACCGGCCCTCGCAGGTCGCCGTTTCGCATAAACCCTCGCAAATCACCTGATATTCGCGTCTCCGAGGCTCGTAAATTACTCGATGCTCGCGCCTCCGAAGCCATCAAACTGCATAAATTATACAATATCTGCGACCCCGAAGCCATTAACCCTCGTACATTATACAATTATCCCGTGTCCGAAGCCATACACCCTCGAAAATTATACCAGATTCGCGTCTCCGAAGCCATAAGCCTGCGTAAATTACACTAGATTTGCGAGCCCGAAGCCATCAACTCTCGTACATTACGCGCTATTCGCGTATCCTAAACCATAAACCGTCGAAATACACCACCGAAGTCAGCAATATCATCAGAATCTCAATTTGTCTAGCCGATTACTCATCGTCTTCGCGTGAAGTCCCGATGCTGCTTCACGGCGGCGCCAAGGCCTCATGATTTCGCTCTTGCATTGCCCACTATCGTAAAGAGGTGGCCAGCGGAAGGGGGCGAAGCCCTTACGGATGAAAAAAGATGGGGCGACCCGGCCGCTCGCTCCTCCTCCATTTTCTGTTTCTTCTTATCCTCATCCTCGTCCTCCTCCTCCAACGCCTCCTTCTCCTCCTCCTCCTCCTCCTCATCATCATCATCATCACCATCACCATCACCATCACCATCACCATCACCATCACCATCACCATCACCATCACCATCACCATCATCATCATCATCATCATCATCATCATAGTCGTCACCACCACCACCATCATCAGCATCGGCATCAACATTCGCATCAACATCAGCAGCATCATCATCGTCATCATCGTGATCATCGTCATCATGATTATTGTCATTAGCATCATCATCATCATCGTCGTCATCATCATCATCATCATCATCTTGAGTATCGTCATCATCGTCATCATCATCACCATCATCAGCAGCACCATCACCATATCATATCATCGCTATCATCATCAACAGTATCATCAACATCAACATTAGCATCAGCATCAGCATTAGCATTGGCATCAGCGTCAGCACCAGCAGCAGCATCAGCATCAGCATTATCATCCTAATCACCATCACCATCGTCATCAGCATCATCATCGTTTCCTTCGTCTCCTTCGTCCTCCACCTCCGCCTCCGCCTCCTCCTCCACCTCCGCCTCCGCCTCCTTCTCCTCCTCCTCCTCCGCCTCCTCCTCTCCCGCCCTCCCTCCCTCCTTCCCTCCCTCCCTCCGCACTTCTTTCCTGGAGGAGGAGCGGCAGAAGCAGCAGGGGCATCGCAGGATCCGCGGCCGCGGTTCGCAAGCGGTGGGGCGGCGTGCCGGTGGGCCCGCGACGACGACGCGCACCGCGCGCAGCTGCCGCTGCACGCAGAACTCTCCAGCGATCTTCCTGGGGCCGCACAGGACACGGCGTCCAAATTCCTCCTCCAACTCTCTCCTCCGTCTCCCCCTCCTGCTCCTCCTGCTCCTCCCCTTCCTTTTCCTCTTCCTCCTCCTCCTCCTCCTCCTCCATCTCCTCCATCCCCACTTCCTCCTCCTCCTCTTCTTCCCGCCTCCTCCTCCCCATCCTCTTCCTCCTGATCACCATCATCATCACTATCATCACCAGCAACCGTCACCTTCACCACCACCACCATTAGCATCATCAGCACAACCATCATCCGCATCATCATCATCATCATCATCATCATCATCATCATCATCATCATCAGCATCATCATGTTCACCATCATCATCATCATGATGATCATCATCATCCTCCTACTAATAATCAGGCCAGGTGATGTTTATTCACGGTGCCAGAGCTTTGATACTGAATGCCTGACCAACTGTGCGCTGGGCTGGCGAAAGACGCTGGCCTGCCAAAAACTTCGAGCGCAAGGCCTGTGCAATCTGCCTTCTGTGAAGAACAGTTGTGAAGAAAGGAGGAGAGGAAGAAGGAGGAGAGGAGGAGGAAGCAGCGTGAATTGAGCCGTGAGGGTTGCGGAGCAAAAGGCGCCTCGCAAAGCCTCGAATCCCAACCCTTCAAGTAGTACAAGGTCGGATGATGCTTTTTCACGGCGCCTGAGCTTAAATATGATGCCTGACCAACTGTGCACTGGGCTGGCGAGGGACGCCGGCCTGCCGAAAGCCTCGAGCGTGAGGCCTGTGCACTCTGCCCTATCCCACACGCGTGCGCTGGCAATTGTGGAGGCCAGAAGCGAGCAGAGGGCGGGTGGGTAGGGTTCTAAACGCTTTGTCCAAAACGCTCCGGTTGGGTCCTTTCCCTCGAGCTTCCAGCATGGCAAACCGGCGCGGCGACAGAGCGAGCTGGTGATTTTTTTCGCGAGCGAGCTGCGGCCAGGAACAGTGCCAGCAAATTCGGTGACCTTCCGCCACTGTTCACCGAACATGCCGAAATCTAAACGCGCGGAAGAGCAATTGATCTCCGCGAGCATCCGTCGCAACTCAGGAGCGACCCACAATATGGAGGTGAGCGTGTCCTCAATAATCACCGCGATACCTTTCTTTGAAGCCAACACATAGGACTTGACGACAAAACAAGTGAGAATACTAGCTGCCGCGACTTTGCGGAAACCAGGGCCCTCGAGGTCAGGAACACCCGAGGGAGGAAAAGCGTTAGATCTGAGAGGCGGTGGGCCAGGCTCTCCTGGCCGTCTGGCGCGAGAGAGGGTCAGGTTCGGAAAAGCAGAATGTAGATGGCAATACCCACGCAGGTGGATGCCTGACAGCAGCCTACGCTGAGGACCAGAAAGAATGAGGTCGCAAGACGAACCGTCATTGATGTCCTAGCCCTCACAAGGGAATGCCACGTCGAGCCCGCGTCTTGGCTAGCCTTCCTGAGCCAGCGAAGATCTCGGCCGCTTTCCGTTCAGTCTGCGCCCCCTTCTGACAGACAGGATGTTGCACGGCATAGAACGTCCATGGAGCCAACCGTTGGGACACTTGACGGCCAGTCGGCTGTAGGCCAGGGTCTCTGGAAGGGTCTCGTTGATCGCCTGCTGCACCTTCCCAAACTTTTCGTGGCGTCGGACGGAGCTGAAGGTTCTCCAGCCCCCCCGCCCCTGGATCTCGGCGAGGTCGCGCCTCTTCAGCATGGCGCCCCTCGAGGCCCCCCCCCCGCGCCAGGCCCGGCACGTGCAGGGCTGCTCGCCCCCCGGGCCGACGAGGTCGGCAGCCTCATCGAACGCGCCCCTGCACTGGCTGATCGACAAGCGGAAGAGCAGCTCGCGCGGGCCCCGCCCCTTAGCCAGATGGACCAGGTGAGGCGAGAGGGGCGCGTCGAGGCCCTCGAAAATGACGGCGTCGTCGAAATTCCCGGTCTTGCGGGGCTGGCCCCTCTCATCCGGTCGCGCCACCAGACGCGAGCTGCGGTGGTCCTGGAGGCGGGGCGCAGGGGGCGCGAGGTCCCCAACCTGGAGCTCCGCAGCCTCCCCAAGACGGGCATGCGCATCGTGGCGCGCCAGGAGACAAAGAGCAGCACCCCTGCGCCCGGTGGCCAGAAGGGCCCCCGATATGGCAGCGGCTCATTCCATGGGCAGCCCGTAGCGAGAGGCGCCAGGGGTCGCCTTGCGGAAGCCCTTCAGGACCAGGGCCTTCCTCACCCGTGGGAGCGGGAAGGCAAGCGGCATCCAACGCGCGGCGATCTCCACTGCGCCCCTGGAGGAAAACCAATATGCAGCCCATCGAGTCCCCGAGGATGAGGTGCTTCTTGTCGAGGTTGCCCGCAGACCTCCCAATCGACATACAAGAGTCCTTCCCGAGCAACTTTACGGGGGCCCCAGGGAACCCGCGTCTACGTCTCCAAGAACGGGGCGGCGGAGGCGCAGTAGGGAAGGCAGGTTCAGCATTTTCGATCCCATCACGGAAGTGCCAAAGGGCTCCAGCCACGCGTCTCTCGCGCGCGAGAGCCCGCTTGAAGGGCCGCCGCTCGTCGCGCTGGCCAGCGCTCACGATCATATTATCTGGGGAACTCCCCTGCGCGATCCCGTGGCCAGTCTCCGACGAGTCGAACACGCGGGCCGCGGGGCGCCAGGGCTGTCGGACGCCGGCGCGCGCGAAGCGCTGAAGAGCTGACATCCACTCGCACTCTCGCGCCGCCGAACGCCGCGAGCGCACCTTCTGCTTGTGGCGCGCCCTGACGCAGCGGCAGCGCGAGCCGAAGATGCCCGCGAGCGGCCGCCCCCCCACGAGCTGGAAAGCGCAGTGGCCCAGGAAACGCTCGAGCATCGCCCCGGCGACCTTCAGGCGTCGCGCCAACCAGCGGCCCGCGGCGGCGAGGCGGCCAGCCCTCTCGGCGGTCGGCCCCACCTCGCCCGCCAGGCCGTCGATGGCGAATCCGAAGCTCTCGGCCCAGAGGGAGGCGTCCTCCGCCTCGTGGACGGCGGGCCCCTCGGCCGCGAGCTGGCGAGCGACGGCAATGCGGGCGCCGTTGGCCAGCTCAGGGGAGCCCGCGGCCGCGGCGCGATTGTCGCGGCGCAGCATCGACGCGAGGCCGCGGGGCCCGATCGCAGGGCCAGGCCCGCGGCCCTGCAGCACCAGCCCAGCGATGTCAGGGAACGCCCCCTCGACCACTGAGGCGTGGGCGATCTGCGCCGCGTGGGGGCCCCAGCTGAAGCCAATGGGCGGCGCGCGAAAGGCGAGAGCAACGGCGCTCCTCGCGGAGAAATGGCTGCAGCAACTGTCGGGCCCCCCAGCTCGGCGACGAGCCAGCCTGGGGCGTCGCTCAGGCAAAAGTAGCTGGAGAGCTCCTCGTCGACGCCGCAGGCGTATATGTAATCCTTGATGTCCGAGAGGCTCACCCAGCGAGGTCGGCGTCGCCCTCCAGGAGAACGCCCTCCCAACTGGCGCCAACGGCCGCGGGTGGGCGAGGGCGTCGACGAAAGCGCCCGCTGCGACAGTCCACCACCGGCCTCTGCTTGCCAGACTTCTTGGCCACGCAGAAGACAGCGACGCGCCCCCGTGCAACGGGCGCCCACCTGGGGAGACCAGCTGCGCGGCAGTCTCGGATAAACTGATAGCAAGCCTTCCTGGAATGGCGAAGCTTCGGATCCATAGACATGCGCGACGGGGCCCGCCTTCTCGCGCGCGGCGCCCCACTCTCGAGCGGCGCGTCGTTCGGGTCCTCGAGAAAATGGCAAGCCTTCGCGGGCAGCATCACCTTGAATGGGGCGGGCCCCGCCCCCGCGCGCAGGGCGCCGAGAAGGCCCCGGTCGCGGGGCTGCGCCAAGGTCGACTCGCCACCGCGCGCGGAGTCTGTCCCGAGGGGCGCCCGCGCGGCCCCCTCGGAGCCGAAGTCGCCTTGCGGCACGTCGGCTGCAAGATGCGCGGATTGCTTCGCGCTGAGCCATGCAGGGCAAAGAACGCGAAGGCAACGCGTGACCGTCGAGGGCGTTGAGAGCCTGGACCGCGCGATTGACCTCGGAATCAACTGCGCCTCTCTTCAAAACTCGCCGCTGCACGGAGCGGCTCAAGCTGTGATCTTGGAGCTGTTCGACCTCCGCCACTGGAAGGGGAAAGAGGTCACGAATTACTTGCGAACGCATGCGGGACTCCTTGTCACGCTTGGCGCCAGCCGGCGGAGTCCCATCGGGAGCGGCTGGATCATGAAATGGCGTCATTAAGCGCCAGCGCCGGAGGCGCCGGCGCCCGCCTCGCGGTCGCCCTTCCCGCCCTCACCACCACGGCCGCGGCCCCTGGGCCTCCGCGGGCGGATCTCCTCCTCGAGCTCCCGGCCTTCCTTGAGAACAGCAGCGCGGTCACGGGCGGCCTCGGCAGCGCGCCTCTCGATGGGCGGCCCCACGGGGGCAGCTCCGCGCTGGATGCCTCAACCCATGAAATCGCCCGAGTAGGTGTAATCTGGGTTGCTGGGATTGTGCGCGCGCGCCTGCCCTATGAGTTGCAGCCGCCGTCCGAGCAGCTCAAAGGAGGCAAGAGTCACGACATTGAGCTCGTCCAACTCCACGGCGAGGTCGAAAACATTGGAGATCACGACATGCTCATGGATACTACGATCCCCCCCAGGGATCCCACTGGTTGCGAGCCACGCGTAATGACTGGGCACCATCCCCTGGGCTGGCTGGGCCACCTCGGCTAGCAGCCAAGGGAGACTCGCTTCTCCCATCAGAGGTGAGTACCCGAAGTCGTGGTGCTCTTGGGGCGAGACGGCCTCGCGGAAGTTCCTCCCCCTCTGCTGTGCAATACGCCACTTCACTGGGGTGACCCTCGCGTCCGTTTCCTGGCCTCTGAACAACCGGATCGCCCCTGTGTCCTGACGCAACACCTCCTGCACCATCAAGAAATTGGCACCCCGCCTGACGAGCCACTGGTAACCGAGCCCGACCGTGACATCACCCGGCATGTGGCTGCACTCCTTCTCGGCCTCTGGATCTCCATCGCTGGAAGACCCTATGACCCACAAGACACGACCTGCTGGAGCGGGAGGGGCCCCCCGCGCACGGCACCTGAGTCGGGGTCTAAAGCGTGCTGATCGATCCGAACGTCATTGATGGCCCTCTGAACCAGCAGAGCCGCGGGGGGTCCAGCCGGGCGGTCGTCGCGGAACGAATACGTATTGGCCACCACCAGCAGAAGAAACGGTCGTGCTTGATGCTGAAAATGGGGCACCGCCGCGTCGTCGTAGCACGTGATACCCTCCAGCGGTGGCGCTGACAACTTCTCCAGGTAGACGTCCCCGTTCGGGGTGAGCCCCCCCACGCAGAGCCCCCATTGGCCAGGGACTCCCCCGTACAACCCTGCATCGCCTTCTCGGTCGCAGGCTCTAGTAGGATCCTCTCGTGCCACGGGGGAACTGGCGCCGGTGGCGGGTCTTGCTGGTAGTACAGGCTCACGTTGCGGCCCGGCTTGAAGACGATGGCAACCATCGAGATGCGCCTCCAAAAACTGATCTCCGAACGACCACCGCACACGACAGCGAGCACAACGAGCAAGCCTCTTCACCAGGTAGACGCCAAACACACCAGTGAGCACTCCAACCCCGAACGCGGCAGACACGAAGAGCCGCGCCGAGTCTACGCCCGTCAGGCAGGAGTAAGCGGCGGTGCCCAGCGCTCTCCTGCAGGTGGTGTCCACAGACAGCAAGTCCCTCTTGGAGGCCAGCCAGCCTACGCCGGCCTGCATGGGAGACGGGAAGCTCAAAGCAGCGTGACTTGAGCCGTAAGGATTACGGAACAAGTGGCACCTCGCAGAGCCTCGAGACCTAACATTACAAGTAGCACAATCATCATCATCATCATCATCATCATCATCATCATCATCATCATCATCATCATCATCATCATCATCATCATCATCATCATCATCATCATCATCATCATCATCATCATTGTCATCATCATGATCATGATCATTATCATCAGGATCGTCATCATCAACATCATCATCATCATCATTGTTATCGTCATCGTCATCGTCATCGTCATCGTCATCCTCATGTTCATCCCCATCCTCGTCCTCATCCTCATCATCACCACAACCGCCATCATCATCATCATCATCACCATCAGCATCGTCATTACATCCGTCGTCATCATCAGCAGCATCAGCATCATCAAAAATCACTCATAACCAATCAGCAATCATCGCTCACCGATCACCAATCCTCCATCATCTATCATGTCCGTCATTGTCATGATCTGCATCAGCACCATTATCATGATCAGCATGAGCATGATCATCAGCGTCGTCAGCATCATCATCAGCAGCATCCTCATCATCAGCATCATCGTCATAACCAGCAGCATGATCATCATACATAGAATTGTCATCATCATTATAATCATCAGCATACGTATCACCTCAGCCATCATCACCATCGTCATCGCCATCGTCAGCGTCATCACCATCAGCATCGCCAACACCAGCAACATCATCATGATCACCATCAACATAATCATCATTATACGTATCCCCTCAACCATCATCACCAACCACATTCTCTTCACTAGCATCGTCGTTGTCGTTAGCATCGTAACCGTGAACATCATAATCACCATCACAACTATCAGCATCACCATCATCATCACCATCGCCATCACCACCATCATCATCACCATCATCAGCATCATCAGCATCGCCATCATCATCATCATCATCATCATCATCATCATCATCATCATCATCATCATCATCATCATCATCATCATCATCATCTACATCAGCATCAGCATCAGCATCATCATCGTCGTCGTCATCGTCATCAACAGCGTCATCCACCTCCTCCTCCTCCTCCTCCTGTTCGTCCTCCTCCTATTCCTCCTCATGCTCCCCCGATGTCCCCCCACGTTAATTATCCTCCTGCCCCTCCCCATCCCCTCCTCTGCGCCTCCCTCTCCTCCTCCTCCTCCTCCTCCTCCACCTCCTCCTCCTCCTCCTCCTCCTCATCCACCTACTCCTCCTGGTCCCCTCGTCCTCTTCCTTTTGCGATGTCCCGCCTTCGTGCCACCTCCTCTCTCTCTCTCTCTCTCTTTCCCTGCTCTTTCTTTTTCGAATTTCCCTCACTCCCACAATGCTCATCGAACTTCGCGGCGCCCCGCGATGCGCGCGATTACCTTCGCACCGCCGCAAATGGAGAAAGGCGCCTCCCTAACCCAGGGCCGCAATACGCGAAGCGCGATTACCTTCGCGCACCTGGGGGAGACCTAGCTTTCCTTCTCCTCCTCCTCCTCCTCCTCCTCCTCCTCGTGTTCGTCCTCCTGCTCATCCTTCCTCCTCCTCCTCCTCCTCCTCCTCCTCGTGTTCGTCCTCCTCATCCTCCTCATTCTCCTCCTCCTCCCTCCCTCCTCCTCGCGTTCGTCATCCTGCTCGTCCTTCCTCCTGTTTGTTCTCCTCATCCGCCGCCGAGCTCGGGGCGGGGCGAGTGGCACTAGCCGTCGACCAAGCCGACGACGCACGCCTCGGAAGCGTCGAGTCTGCAGCTTGGAGCGGGCCCTCCTGGGAATGTTTCTTGCCCGAGGCAGGGCAGGAGGAGAGATCCGCTGACCCTGCATAGGGCGGCGGAACAGGTACAGTATCCACTGCTCCCTGCCCGGGCCCAGCCTGAACCCAGCAGCGGTGCGCACGCCACGCCCTCCTGGCATGGCCAGGAGGGCGTGTACACAGCTCCTGGGTTGAGGCTGGGCCTGGCCAGGGTGCAGTGGATGTGGATAGACCTCGCGCCCGACTCCAGGGGGCGATCCCGATCGCACACTCCACGGACAAGCGCTCGAGAGAGAGAGAGAGAAACAGCACGGAAAGCCAGCAGAGGACGGTACACAACCCGGGCCCTCCCGTGCATGTACGTACAGAGCGACCTAGGTCACGAGGATGCGCGGCAGGGGCGCGAGGCCCCTGGACCCCGAGGCCGAGGCAGGAAAGCACACGCACCGTGGCCGAGGCCAGGACGGGCCGAGAGGTCAGGACGCAAGGCAGCCCTCGAAGATTTGCGTATCCTTCTTCCCCTGCGTGACTGTGGTGTGAGAGCTCGCGCGGCCTCCCTTCTCGAAGAACGACTGGGGCACGGCAGTCCACCCTGCCACGGGCAGCTGACAGCCTCTGGCAGTCTTGCTTCTGTACGGAGCGCCGCCGCTTCGCTGGTAACCAGCAGCACCTCATCGCCTTGTGCCAGGCTGCGTGCGAGCGACCCGAGCGAGGCAGCAACCATTTCACGAAGCTGCATGCGCTGCAGTCAGAGCAATATCGGGAGCCGTCGGGAGCCGTCGTCCCGGTGCAGGCCAGGCCCGTCATGCCGGGTCCTCGAGCCGCCTCAGACCCTCAACCCTCGATCCTCCTCATCCCCAGCGCCCGAGCCACGATCGTAATCCTCGAGCCACATCAAACCCCGGGACCCTCGACACTCCTCCTCGGCCCTCGACTAAAACAGAGCCAGGGGCGAGACGACGTCGGATCATGATACATCGGGAGTCTCCGAGACCTGGCGGTTCTGGAAGATGCATCGGGCGCCGCGGCCGTTCCGCAGCGTTCCGGAATGCTCTGCGGAGCGGTACATCTCGATCTTAGACTGGCTCCTTCCCCTGGACTATATTTCCCAGGACCGGCTCTCCGTCCCGAAGAATACTTTGACGGTAGGATCGAGGAAGAGCGAGGATCGAGGATGAGCGAGGAGGATCGAGGAGGATCGAGGATCGAGGATCGAGGAGGAGGCAAAGGCCAGGCCAGGCCAGCCCCGCCCTGCCTTCCCCACCGGGCGCGCCGCCGAGTCTCGCTCTCGGGCCATCGCTCGGGCCTATCCCCCGTCGTGATTGTTCCACCGGGAGAGGATGAGCCAGGTCACCTAACTTCGCGCATCGCGCCCGACGATGCACGACGCGCGGTCCTCTTCGCGCCCTCGCGCCGCCGCCCTGGCGATGGGCGCCTCTCCACCCAAAGCCGCGATGCGCGAAACGCGGTCACCTTCGCGCATCTGGGGGTGACCTGGGAAAATTGACAGAAAACCCACGCCGTGGCTGTTTCACTGGACAAGCGCGCTCTACTATTCGCAAAATAAATAGTCGCAAATAGCCTGGATCCGCCGCAGGGGATTTACGCTCCATGACATCGAGGAAAACATGTTTTTTTGGTCGGACGTTTGCGAGTAGGCCATTTGCGAGAAGTGGAACGCTCTAGGTGTTTCACGACGAAAACACGACACCATCCGAAGGAGGCCATCCCACTCCTCATGCATCAAAGCAGCAAGGGGCGGCGCATCTGTCTCAGCAGAGGTCGCCGCCGACGATCGCGCAAGATTGTCCATGCAACTCCACGGCAGCCCGTGGCGACAAGGGAGCCCAGGAACACCCAGAGCGCCCAGACAGGCATTCCACCAGCTTCTGTCCACCGGAGTGGGCCGAGGCTAGCAGAACGCCACCCCCGCAGGAACGGACAAGCGACTCCTGCGGCCCCGAGGGAGAGGGAGGAAGATGAATGAGCAGGAGGGCCGCCACGCCTCGCATTGGCCAGCATCCCCTCGCGGCACCACCAGCCCGGCGGGTCGCTCGCGGCCGCAAACTCCTGACTCGGGAGAGAGGAGCAGGAGAGAGCAGGAGGAGGAGGAGGATGAAAAAGGAGGAGGAGGAGGAGGAGAGAAGCAGGAGCAGGAGGAAGAGGAGGAGGAGGAGGAGCAGGAGTGAGGAGCAGGAGAGAGCAGGAGGAGGAAGAGAAGCAGGGAAGACCGGTGTAAGCACAACACGCATCAACGATGTTGCAATAAACCCTCCCTCCAAGATCCTTATCCATGGGTCTCTACAGAAGTTTATTTCCACTGCGGGAAGCGCCCTGTTTAAGACAGATGTCTGAGAATCCTCCCTCACTCGTGCCAAAACACCACTCCCGAGACTTCAACGCCGCGAATCGACTTTACTGTTGTGTCCTGACGAACCTGATTCGTGCCAGAACACCATTCCAGGAACTACAACACCGCAAATCACCGTGACAGCTGCGCCCTGACAATCCTAAATCGTGCTGGAACACCCCTCCTTGGACGGAAACCACACGAATCCTCCAACAAGTTTTTGCGAACTTGTGCAACCGATGTGCGCGGCGCGAAGAAAAGAACCACATATTGAAAAGGAGCGGCCCTCCATCCGTCAAAACAAAGCAACCCAAAATCGAATCGATTTGTCGGATCAGCGATCGAAATGAAACGGACCGGCAGAAATTGGCAGCTGAGGCGGGAACATTCAAATCGGCGATAGTCGACAATAAATCGGAGCCCAAATCGGAATCCGAAATCGAATTGAATCGAAGCCATCGAAATCGAATCGACTCGAAACCAAAGAATCGACATGAGCCCCGTCAACGTCTTGCAAACTTACGCGCGCGACGCTGCAACGGTAACAACATGTTGAACACCTTTTCCCCCAATGAATTGGCGGACGGAATCTACACAACAGAATGGCGTTTGAACTGTTAAAGGAATCTCGGGGCATTACCTCGGTTCTAACGCAATGTTAGACCAGTGTGGTCTGCCCGCCACGTAACACAAATACAAGGCATACTTCAGCTCACGACATATATTCTACACGCGTTGGGGCGAACATTGAAGGAACAACCCTGGGGGCAAACGTTCGCACTGCCCGAAGCACGCACCTGTCGCGGCGCAGCAGAGGAAGGAAGGGAGGGATAGGGAGAGGGAGGAGGAGGAGGAGGAGGAGGAGGAGGAGGAGGAGGAGGAGGAGGAGGAGGAGAGGGAAGCAAAAAACATCCCAAATAGCGAATGGTACGGTTCCCTTTGAAACGTATCGGCCCCGCGGGTGCACACAAATTGTGTTGTAACCCATACTAGATGGTCCAAACGGCCACACCAACAAATCCAACACAACCTGATAAAAGGAGAAAAAGGATGAGGAGGAAGAATACGTGCAACGCAAAGCGCCCACTGCAACCCGTAGCTGACCGGCGAATGCCGGGAAATGCATCTAAAACAGCGTCGGGCCTATCGAACAACAGGCGAGAAGAGAGAGGAAGCAGAGGAGAATGGGCGAAATCAGATATCATTGAGGGCGCCAGAAAGCATTCAGACACCTGGTCTACCCACCATGCCCCGTCACGGCGCTACGACAACTCAGCATCAGCTCTTGCACCGCTTCCGTGCGGTAGCTCCCGGTGGACGTCCCTTGCACCTTCGGCGAATACCGCCGCCGATTCGTGGTCATGCCATATACCAAGATGGCCCAGTACGTATGCTCGGCCTCCGACTGGTACCATGCTCTGCTTGCGTGCGTGGTAGCCCCCTTCGATGCGAAGAAAACGACGGCCTGCTTCCCGGCCCGCAACGCAACCTATAGAATATTGAATGCTGTCGCAACCGCTGCCGCACCCTAGTGGGCATAGCGCCTCTGATTGGATTCTGCGGGCCGTGCACCACCGATTCCATACGCCCCCCCACTGTGCAGCAGCGACCCGCGGCGCCACCAGGGTGGGCAAACGCCGCAGGTTCTTCATCAGCCGGTCGGCGAATACATGTCGACCCCCTTGAAACTTCCAACGTTCAAGCTTGTGTAGCTCTCGCGTCGGCCAGCATTCCAAGCAATGCAGCAGGGCTAGCTTGGCTACGGCGGCCTGGGAACCCGCGCGCAAGCACTCCCTGTCCTTTTCTGGGGTCCTGTCCCGAACACAGAAGACCCCGCGGGCTCGAAGGCGCGCCTGGTTGTCCATCAGCTGTCGCGGGAAAGATCGGGAATGCCATCCGCCCAACTGCAAGATTCCGCTGGAAGTGAAGCGCGTCCGCCAGCCTGCGCGCAAGGTTCGCCGCCGACTGCTCGGGAGGTTCTTCCCACGCCTCGCGATAGAGAGCCGCGAGCATGGCCGCTTCGCCACGCGCGCCCAGGCCGCGGAACGATCGACCCGCGCCGCAATCTGTGCCCACGCGCAACAAGTCAAGGGTATTCGCCCAGTCGTGCGGCCCAAATGCCATGCTCAGCAGCGCCCCCGGCTCCAGGTCGCGGATCTCCACCGGCACGGGCCCCCACTGAGTCAGGAGAAGACTGACGCGCAGAAGACATTGTAGACCATCGCGGCGCACTGCAACCCGTTTTCCGCTCCACCCCCGGGCCTGGCCCGCCGGTTTCCGCCGCGCTTTATCCCAGACCTCGCTGCTGCGACCAGGGCCCACGTGGAATCTCAAGTACTTGGTGAACGAGCCAATCTGGACACTCGGCCAATCTCCCCCAAGAGCCCGCAGCGCATCTTCGATGGGGTCGTAGGCCTTCTCTGACGCCAGCCACAATGGGATGATGATCGTTTTGTCGAAATTGAAGCGCAGCCCAGAAATCGAAGCGCGCTCGAATAGCTTGGCAATCCTGGGGAGCCGACGCAAAAGCTGTTCAAGCACTGACGCCGCGTCGTCCGCAAACCCTCGGGGTAGACCCAGACAGGCAAGTACAGAATCCAAGGCGCGTAAAAGAAAATCGACCACCGCCGCGAAAATCACCGGTGACAGAAGGCACCCTTGTCGAACGCCGCAGGCCATCAAGAAGGGCCCCCCTAGCCAGCCAGGCAGGCGCGAAGTTGCCGTCGTCCGGTCGCGCATGGCCCGGAAGAGTGGCCGCTGCCGCTCTGGCGTGCCGATCCAAAGCAGAGCGTGCAATATGATGTCGCGCTCAGTAGATGGGAAGGCCGCCCGGAAGTAGAACGGGATGATGCCGCCACTCGGTCAAGCTGACCCGCATGGCCGCGTGGTCAATGGTCATCGCATCGTTAGTCATCGAGCGGCAGCGCAGGAAACCTTTTTGGCTCAGCGAAACCCACCGGGAAACTGTTGCCTCCCTCGTATGCAGACTGCGCTGCGCATGAGACGGTTGTCCGCGTTCACGATGGACAAAGTTATCGTGCAATCCGCCGTGGAAACCTCGTCACCATCGTCCGTCGCGCCCACCGCGACCTCTGGGAGGCAGACCTGAACGCCCGCGTTGAATCCGCGCTCGCCTTGGCACGCCGTCTCGAGCGACCGGAAGGCGCTGGGCCCGCGAAGCTCCACCGGCGCACCCCAGAGCACCGCCGCGCCCGCGCCCCCAACTCCCGCCAGACATCGTAGAAGATCCCGTCTGGGCCTGGAGCAGCCCTCTCGCTCCGCCGGATGGCCGTGGCGAGGTCCTGTTTGTGAGTGCCCCAGGCGGGGCGGCCCGGGGAGAGCAAGCCCTCGCGCCAATCACGCGGGCGACCATGGCGATCGCGTTTCCCGCGCGGCTGCCGCGCCAGATCCGCGGGGCACTGCGTCTGCCGCCAGTGGTCTAACTTCGCCGAGTCGACGCCCCTATGCTGGAAGACTTGGACCCAATGCGCCTCCATGATGTTCAGCATCCCGTTGGTGCCCGTCCGAGCGACGCCCTGGTCGGACTGCGTCGCCTTGATGCCCGCCCCCCCCGCGCCGCGGGTGCGCTTCAACTTCCCGATGATGTGCCCCTTGCCCCGCTGGGCCTCGACGTCGTCGCCTTCCTCCTGCGCCCGCTTGACCTCGCCGCGTCCTCGGTGACGGAGTCCCTGGCCAATTCGAGTATCCATGCGTGCGAGACGTGATCGAGTTTCTTGGCGTGGAGCTGGCGGTCGCTGCCGTTTCCCACCTTCTGCGAGATCTCTGGGAAGGCGCTGCGAGCCTCCTCCGCGCGACGCCAATTCCGAGCGTTGACCGCCTGGGCGCGCCGCGCGGCCCAAACAGAGTTGCCCCCGGCCGCAAGTTCCCGCGGCGTCTGCGATCGTTCGCGGGCCACGCGCCGCGCAACGACGTCAACGGCGTCTTTCGGCAGCATGAGATTGCGCAGCGCGCCGCGGCCGCCCTTGGCCCCCCAGAGACGGCGCAGGCACTTGATCTTCACTCGATTAGCCCAGTCTGGGCCGCCCACCTCGTTCGCCTGGATGGGCAGGACCTTGGCCTCGCGGTGATGCGAGAAGCGACGATGGCCAGCGATGGGCCGGCGGCGTGAAGAATATTCGCGCCGCCCGGGTGCCGCGCAGCCGATGTCGCGGTCTAGCCGCTCGTAGCGTTCAACATTCGTGCACGTGCGATCCAATCTTGAGCGGCAGTCGGCAAAGCGGTGCGTGCATTCGTTCTGCTCCAGGTCGGCGAGTTTCACGCGTGCAAGCATGGCCATAGAAGTCGCGCGACTCCGCCTTGTTGGTGACACCGGCGCGCGCGCGGGGATCTCGCCGCTGAACCCCCCCATTGAGCAGGCTACGAAATTGAAGTCGCCCGCGAGGATGTTGAGGGCGAGCCCCCGCTGCTCCATCATGGGGGAATTTGCGCATCGTCGCCGTTCGTTCCAGGCGGCCGCCGCTGTCGCTGGCGTGTAAGTAGACCATGCACAGGTGCAGTTTCCCCACCATTCCCCAGCATCGGAGTATAGCAGCGCTCCCAGGGGCCGCCTCAATCAACTGGTAGCCGCCCTCCGAGTCTGCGAACCAGCGGAGGAATGCGTTATTGACCCAGCCCCCCACCCCTGCGCCCCTGGTGGGCCCATGAGAACAAAAAGGAATATGTTCGGAAGGGAATCGTTGAATTTGTCAGGGTTGCTGTGAGTCTCTTCCAACACCAGGATGTCGTGTAAGGAGGCGAGCTTGCGAGCTCGGCGCATCTTGACCTGCTGGCGGAGAACACTGGCGGCCGCCAAACCTTGAGCATTCCAACTGGCCACCGACCATTCACCGTCGCATTGGTGCTCCATCGCGTCAGTGAGTCTGGAGCCATAGGGCCCCAGAGGGGGGGTCGACGCATTCTCTGGAGGCACGCGCGCCATCGTACCCAAGGAGGTGCAAATGCGTTTTGCCGCGGAGGGGGGGGCGGCTCGAGCGGGGTCTTCATCTCGCTGTCGTGGTCTCCGCCGCGTTGATCGGGAGGGAGTAGGAGAGGTGCGTGTGCGCGGGCGTGGTGCGCCGCCGAGGTGCACGACGCAGCGGTAGCTAGGTTTGTCTGAATTCGGGAAGCTTTCCCACCTATTGGGAAGCATCCCGTACTGATGGCAAAGATGGCGAAGATTAACACAGTGCTACCACTGCAAACCCAAACTGCCATGCTGCCCTAATTCAACATGCCCGGCGTGCGATCGTGCATATCAGCGGCCCGCCTGATGCCCGCGGCCCGCTCGAATGCTCTCGACCCCCGCGACGTGGGAATGACCTCAATGGCCATGCGCCCGCCAGCCGCGAGGTCGGTCGTCTTACCTTCCAGCCGCTCGAATGTCAAGAGTACCTCCTCAGTCGTGCGCACATGGAGCAATGCGTGGCCCTGCCAACCCCTCCGAGCGTCCACCATGGGCTTCCACTGGTATGGCACCGTCGATGTCTCCGAAGCCGATGGTGATAGAGGGAGGCCGGTGGCGGTACTCGTCATGGATACGAAACTCGGCACCTCCAGGAGTCGGGCGCCCACGAACTCCCCGGACACCCGGATGATCATGTCCAGTTCTTTACCGTCGCTGCCCCTGGCTCGGATGCGTTTCGCGTCTTTCTGCTCGTCCAGCACGGGGGGCTCCGCCAGGAAGCGGGCCTTCTCCACGTAGGCACCCGCATCCGTGTGGTAGAAATCATAGGCGGTTGGTCCCCACTGCACCTCCGAAGCCGTAGACCTCGCCACCAATAGACGTGGAGGTACTAACGCGGCACCCTCGATCAACTCATGGACTTTGATAGCAGCGGCCAGGCCAGAGATGTCGACGAGGATGGTGTCTGGGTTGCTGCGCGTGGAGCGCAGGCCCAAGACCATGTCGATTCCGAGGAAGGTCTCCTTCAGCGCTACTAACGGAACTCTGGGAGCCCAATTCCCTGATACCCCCAAGCGGCCAGTGTAGATGATCCTCTTGGAGTCGGGGGTGGAACTGGCTGCCTTGGTGGGGCCATTCCATGAGGTGATAACATATTGGGAAACCTGCCCGGTTTTGATGAGAAAATCTACCTCGTCCTCCGCAGCAACGTCCACGATCACCAGGTTGCTGTCGGCGCCCTGCCCGATCGTGCCCCGAGGCGCCATCATGAGCCACTGCCAGGAGCCGGAATTGCTATGAGCGTGACCATGCAGAGGCTCTTGACCTGATGCATGGGGGCGTGCAGCCCTGTAACCACAATCTTCATGGGCTCGTGGCTGAGCTGGACGTGCCGGATAAACGGTGCCCATTTGCCCTGTAAGAGCTCATGGGACCAGGTGTCGCAGAATTGGCGAATGGAGTGGCAGCCAAGGCGCGGGTCCAACGGTATGACCAGCGATACCTGCGCCGAGCGTCCTGCCATCGCCGCCTTGGCGATACCCGCGCAAATCCGGCCGATGTCCTCACGACCCGTAGGGCACCACGTGACCACACCACGACCTTCCAAGCGCTGCAGCGCATCATCCGTATGCTCGCCCCCCTGGATAAGCTTGTCGACGAACTCCCGCGCTTCCAGCATCGTGACCAGGGAGTGGCCCTGGAGGACGGGGTCCACCGAGCGCAGCACGTTGGACAATTTGAGCATGCAGGAGCTACCGCGGGAGATCTCCTTCATGAGGTGTTCGAGGACTGCCGCGTCCGCCTCGACCCAGCACGGAAGGCGGTCCTTGGTACTGAGCATGTCCTTCCTCTCCCGCATCACGTTCTTCAGCTCGCCAATGCATTGTTGAAGCGCGATGTCCCCCTTGTGGAGCCACTCCCGCTTCGCGTCCTGCTCCTCTGAGGTGGGCGTCCAGCGTGGCCTCCACCAAATCCTGGAGAAGATCGGCCGGGCGGTGAATGGTAGCGCGACCAGGGTCCAGCCCCTCGTACTTCGTGATGCCGAAGAGCTTCCATCCATCCGTTCCCTCCATGTGGTACCCCAGCATGCCCACATCTCGGGTCATGTGGTGCCATGCAGGACTCGCCGCTGAGGATGCCTCGTCTGGCAGGCTGGGCAAGTCCACGGCCACAGCGTCGAAGCTGACCAACATCTCCTACTCGATGACCTCCCGAGTCGCGCGTGCACAGATCGAGCCCGCCGTAACGCCCTGGGCCGCACCCCGTGGAGCATCCCGATCGGGCGAGACACCTGGCGGTGTAACCAGGGCCGCTACGGTTGCGCCATCGTGCCCCTGAGGCGCCGCCATGACAACGTAGTGCAAGGACGAGAAAAGGTAGGACAATGTGTCGAGACCTGCAGTTGCAAGGCAAAGAATGCTGAGGTTGGCAGGGAATGGCGGGACCTCGCGCCCGAACGCTTGGGCCAGAATGGCTTGAGCGATTCGAAACGACCCGCACTCCATCCGTGAAACTCTTGCAAATTTCAAGTTTCAGGAACATACATGTTGGGGAAACCTCAGCGGAAACGCCCGAGCGTCCCTACCAATACGTCTCGGGGTGAGACAGGGAGGAGTTATCTTACCAGCCCTGTAGGGGGTAGGTGATTTAACAAGTCTTGTCTTCTCTCCCCCTCCGTCCCCTGCTCGGGGGAAGGGTTTACCAATATCCCCTACTAATATACACCCCCTCCCCCAGGCGACCGGCAGCCAACCAGGAACACTGCCGACCCTATGCTCCCCACCCCCCTGTCAATCAACAATACAAACACACACTCTGCCTTCAAATTCGGAGCCTGCGTCACCAACCCGATGCGGCCCCCTCCCACCATTCCCGTCAACAAAACAATACAAAGTACACTTTGCGGCAAAGTCTTGAGTCATAATCGTGAGGCCCGCGGGCACTCTGCATTGTTTTTTGACAGGGACGGCGGGGATGTCAGCATATTGCCTGCTGCGCGCAGGGCCACCACCCCTTTCAAAAAACAACCTCGCGGCTAGATCTGGATCATGCGCGGCCACCCCGCGATCACTGTCAAATGGTTTTGAGCAGGGAAGGCGGGGGTAGTGGCGCATGGCTTGCTGCGTGCAGGCCCACCAGACGCCATGACGAGAATTCGTTTTCGACAAGGATGGTGGCGCACCTGACACACTCTGCACGCGCCCCGAACATAGTGCACCTGGCGCGGCTGGAGTATGCGGCACACCTGGCGCACGTGGAGCACGTAACGCATCGGGCGCACCAGGCGTGCCTAGCACGCTCGGGCCCAAGGGGTGCCTGGCACGCGTGGCGCGCCTGGCACGCGTGGCGCACCCGGCTCCAGCGTCGCGCACATGGGGTCGGTTTTGGTTACCAATAGGTGTCCATCCGAAGACGACCGCTGAGCATGCTGAGGCTCGGGGGTTACCTGTGTGTTGGGAGGGGAGGGGGGCTAGACGGTTTGCTATCTAGGAGGGTGTCTTGACCCCTCCCCCTACCCGCTCCTCTGGGCCTGCGAGTGTAGGAGCATATAGTTAGAGTTTGAAGATAGGCCCAAGATGCAAGGTGGCTCAAGATGGCCGAAGATAGTTCAATATAGCCCCCTACATACCTCCCGGAGGCCCCAAGACAGCCACAAGACGGTTGGAAGTGCCCTTCTAACCTTCCTAGGCAGAGGCCACCATCCCAACAACCTAGGGAAACTCTGTGTTGTTTGCATTATGAGTGGTTTGTTTGAGCGCTCCAAGAGCGGCCCAAGAGGGCCCCCAAACGCCATCCCCGATGGGGAGACCGGAATAGGGTACCCCTCTCTATTCGAGTCATGAGGCCCACGAGGCCTCCTAGATCCTTCCAATGAGCCTCAAGAGGGCCCCAAGACCCCCAAAATGAACCCCAAGAGTGCCCCGAGAGGCCCCACGGGGACCTCAAGAAAGCCCCTACGATGGCCTCAATCGTCCTTCAAGGACATCTCACAACAACATATCTTCAAAGCCCGACTCATCTTCCCTGCCATCGCCCGTTCCTTCCATCCTCCTTTCCTCATCCTCCCTCGCCGTCCTCCTCCTCCTCATCGACCTCCTCCTCCTCCTCCTCCTCCTCCTCCTCCTTAGCCTCCTCCTGATGATGATGATGATGATGATCATCATCATGATCATCATCATCATCATCATCATCATCATCATCATCATCATGATCATCATCATCATCATCATCATCATCATCATCATCAGCATCATCAGCATCATCATCATCATCATCATCAGCATCATCATCCTCATCATCAGCATCGTCATTATCACCACCACCATCACCATCATCATAATAATCATGATCCTCAGCATAGTCAGCATCCCCATCATCATCAGCATCATCAACATCATCATCATCACCATCATAATTTCCGTCACCGTCACCGTCCCCGTCACCATCACCGTCATCACTATTACCATCATCATCATCATCATCAACATCATCGTGGTCATCATCATAATATTCAGCAGCATCAGCATCAGCATCAGCATCAGCATCATCGCCATCATTATTGTCAGCATTATCATCGTCATCATCATCAACATCACCAACCTCATCCTCCTCATCCTCATCATCACCATCGTCATCGTCGCCGTCATCATCGTCGTCATCATCATCAGCATCCAGGTCATCATTATCATCAGCATCCAAGTCCTCATCCTCATCATCGTATTCATAAGCATCAGCATCATCATGAGCATCAACATTATCGCCATCATCATCCTCATCCTCACCCTCACCCTCATCTTCACCCTCACCCTTATCATCATCCCCATCCTCATCCACATCCACATCCTCCTCCTCCTCCTCCTCCTCCTCCTCCTCCTCCTCCTCCTAAGCATCATCACATCAAAATCAATCATCCATCTTCCTCGTGCCGCATTCCCCCTCCTCTTCCCGCTCCTCCCCGTTTTCTCATGTTCCTCCTCCTCGTCCTCTTCCTCCTCCTCCTCCTACCCCCAAGATGGTCCAAAGAGGTCGAGCATGGCTCAATCATAGCCTCCAACAACATCCAAGAAGCCTCAAAACAGCCTCAAGACGGCCCAAGATTGCCGAGCATGGCTTAGGACAGCTTCCAACAGCCTCTGGCCGAGCATGGCTTAACCTCCAAGGGGCCTCAAGAAACCTCCGATCGTGTTTGGATGGCCGAATTGGGGAACGCAAATTATCAATAATGTATCAGGGAAAAGAGTGGGGGAGCAGGAGGAGGAGGAGGAAGAGGAGGAGGAGGAGGAGGAAGAGGAGTTGGAGGAGGACAAACAGGAGGATGATGATGATGATGATGATGAGGAGGAGGAGGAGGAGGAGGAGGAGGATGGCTTTTCTCCATGTCCCCTCACACCCTCCCTTCTCTCCCGCCCCCCTCTGATCCCCACCCCCCTCCTCCTCTCCGTCCGTCTCCAGTGTGAGAGAACTTCCTTTTCATTGCAGGTGGAGCGTGGGCCACGGCACTGTCAGTAGAGTCCTTCTCTCTCTTTCTCTTTCTCTCTCTCTCTCTCTCTCTGCAAGGTGGCTCCCGGCGGGAGCAAATCTGTCCTCTGATACCTAGTTGAGGGCGAGGCAAGCAGTCGCTGATTTGTCTATGATATGCTATGCTGCGTGGATATTTTAACTATGCTGAGCTGTCGTATGATGTCAGCGATGTGCAAGCTCGCAAGAGGGGCCCCTCAAGACTTCGGGCAGCAAGCGGTTGCGGAAGAAAGAGTGAAGGGGCAGCAGCAGCATGGGCAGGGAACCAAGAGGACCCTGACTCGAGTTGACAGGCACTGGGCGTGTAAGGAAAACTGGCACCTGTTTCAGACTGGTACCTTTCTGTTGTTGCTTGAAAACTCGGCTGCCGCATTAAACGACAAGCTCGGTAATGGGATTCACCATCCACTGTACAAGAGCCTCGCGAAGCCCATCCGAAATCTTGGCGAACGGGTCTGCAATCATGTTCGTGGTGGGTACCCACCGCATTGAGCCTAAACCGAGGCTCGTCTGAATAGACCACACGTCCAGCAGGGCGCGCTTCTCGGCGAGGCTGGAATTCTCCTTCCTTACACAATCGTACAAACTCTTGCAATCGGTAATGGCAAATAGCGGCACAGCTAGCAACTCGCGGTCTGAAATTCGCGAGGCAACGTATGACTTACCGGTCAACACCTCGCTTAGATAAGTCGAGGCGTAGTAGCCGCGGTCGACGGCTGCGTCGGCGGCGCAAGCCTCAGCTGCTAGAGTAGAGCGAACTTGGCGCTGCGTGCGGACAGAGCGCCAATCAGCAAAGGAAGCTGGCGCTGACCCCGTCAGCGCCTCACGGTTAATCCAGACCACCATCGCCCCCGTCTGGCTCTTGAGCTGCTGCGCGTAGGCCCAGCTGGAATCGCCGAACGCGACGGCGCCGATGCTGCCGCCAACCTCCGGCGTGGCCCGCAGGTGCTCGATCGTCGCGCGCATCTCCTTGAAGTCGATGATCTGCGGATCCTCGTTCTGGATCCTCGATGTCTGGGCGGCAAATCCCTGAAAGCCACTGCCCACTTCCGACGCAGCTCCTCATCTCGGTGCGCTCGGCGCCGTGCAGCGAGCCCCCTTCGCGAGTGCGGGGGGCTGGGATGCGGCGCGCCTCGTGGCCATTGATCTACTCCTTCTGTGTGATGACGACGCGTCCGTTCTCGTACTGGTTAAACTCCCGGCCGCGCCAACCGAGCTGTTCGGGTAGGAAGTCCATCTCCCCCCGCGCGAAGGCCTTCTCCAGCTCGGAAAAGTTCAACAGCTTCTTGGGGTAGACTGCAAAACTGTCGTCCACGTACCAAAGGGCAATCGCGACCAGTCGGTTCTTGTCGCACTTGAGGAAGCGCATCGCGTCGAGGCTGTGGCTCGCGAGACCGAGCTGATACATCTTGCGGCGAATGTGGCGGCGCAGATCTAATGGGGCGTCGGCGAAGCCGTAGATGTTACCTGTCACCTCCCTCTCACAGCGAGCGGGGCCAGGCGCCCGTCGCGATCACCAGCGGGTCGCGCGGAGGTGCGAGGTGGGCCTCGTCGTCCCTCTCGCGGCCCCCCTGGAAGAAGCTGTTCTCGAGGTCGCCGACGCAGGCGGTCCAGTCGTTCTTCGACTCGCGCGCCTTCGTGGAAGCCAGAATCTGACAGGAGTCGGAGAAACTGATGCGCAGAGTGGTCGGTGACCTCCTCTCCCGCGCATCCAGCCGGGGATCGCCGCAGCCGACGACGACTCCGCGGCATTTGGCGGCGAACTCTCCAAGGCCGCAGGCATTGTCACGATAGCACCGCCGGCCTCGGGTGCACCGCTTGCGAATCTCAGACGAGCTGAGCATGTCCTGCGCGAGCTCCTCCGGGACAGGAACCATCAGCGCCCGCTTGACCCAGTTGCTGCACTCCTTGCGCGTCGCCTCCAGGAAACACTGCAGCGATGCACCGTCCATGTTCACGGTCTCTCTCCAAGGGATCTCCTGGTCGTAGGCCTTCATCTGCGCGCGGGCCATGTGGTTCTGCGGGGCGCCGTCGTCCTCGGTTTGTCGACATGTGCATGCAGTTCTACCAAACGAGACTCTCGTGGCGCATGCCGAAATCAGTCGAGCGGCCTTGCGCGCGTGCTGGGGGGGGGGGGGGGCGCGGCCTGCTTCCAATAATGCCCCGACGGCCAGTCGCGCGCGTCGGCGGCGCGCGCGTGTTCAACTCCCCCCCAAAAGCTGCATCGCCGACGCGAGGACAGCGCCGTCTTTATCGGCGGGCGTGATCAACATCGGCGCCGTCATCGGCCTTGTCGTCGTCAGCGCCAACGTCATCAATGTGATCGCTACTGTCATAATCGTGTCTACCGTTGTCGGCGCTGCCGTGGTACCGCGCCCGCCCAAGTCACCGACTCGCACTGAAGTGCCCGCTGAGATGCGCCCGGCGGCCAGCGCCACCGCGGCCGCGTCGGTCGCGCTAAACTAGCTGGCCGCTCCGCGCGCGCGCGCATGCGCGGGCTGTCGCGGCCGCGGAGATGCACCGACCAGCGCCGAGCATTCATCGCAATTTCCGCCGCGAGGGTTTTGCAAACCACGTCGCGGGTGGGTGGGTTGAAAGTTTACAAGTGCGTGGGCTGCCTCAACTCGTTTATAGGAACCATCCTCTTTTTAAAAAGAGAATGCCCCCCCCCGGCGTAATCCGTTACCCTTTCGGGTATGTAAATCATATATGATTCCGACCACATGTCCATCCTAAATATGAATTTGCAGTATCCCAGGGGGGCCGGCATCGGCCCCCCTGAGTTCCCTTGTAAAAATCAATGCGCGGGGACATCTTTTGTTCTAACATGAGACCTTTGGTCACCAATCCCTTGCAAAATATGGGGCGACGTGCACACGCGCGCGTCGTCGCGCGGGCGTTCCGAAATCCTTCAAAAACCTGTGGTGTCGGAAGGATTTCGCAATCGAGTTTCAAAACACACACAAGAACACAGGGTTTCGCAACACCGATTTGCTGAAAAAGCTTACGCGCGAGCTCTTGCGAAATCTTAAGAAACTCAACGGTGTTTCAACATTTTCGCAAAATGCTACCAAACCGGGCTTCGCGCGCGCGCATGTCGAAACCTGTCGAACGCCCTTGCGCGTGTGCCGTCGCGAGAATCCTCTGAAAAAACTTGGACGAAGTGCAGACGCGCGCGTCGTCGCGCGCGTATGCCGAAATCCTTCCGGTTTCGGAAGGAATTCAAAAACGAATGGTTTCGCAACACGGATTTTCAACAAAAGCGTGCGCGCGCGCTCGTGCGTCGTCGTCCTGTCTTTCCTCGTCGTTGTCGTCGTCATCTTTGGCGTCGTCGTCGTTTCCGTCTTCGTTGTCGCCGTGGTCGTCCTTCCTGCTCCCTCGTCGTCGTCGTCGTCGTCGTCGTCGTCGTCGTCGTCGTCCGTCGTCGGCGTATCGTCGTCGTTCCTCCTATTTCGTCGCCGTCGTCGTCGTCGTCGTCGTCTTCCCTCCTCCCTCGTCGGTGTCGTCGTCGGCGTCGCCATCCTCCTTCCTTCTTCGTCGTTCGCGTCGTCGCCGTCCTCCCTCCTCCCTCGTCGTTGTCGTCGTTGTCGTCGTTGTCGCCGTCGTCGTCCTCCCTCCTCCCTCGTCGTCGTCTTCGTTGGCGACGTCGTCGTCGTCTTCGTCGTCGTCGGCGTCTGCGTCGTCGTCGTCTTCGTCGTCGTCGACGTCGGCGTCGTCGTCGTCGCTGCCGTCGTCGTCGTCGTCGTCGTCGGCGTCGTCGTCGTCGTCGTCGGCATCGTCGGCGTCGTTGGCGTCGTCGTCGTCGTCGGTGTCGTCGTTGTCGTCGTCGTCGGCGTCGTCGTCGTCGTCGTTGTCATCGTCGTCGTCGTCGTCGGCGTCGGCGTTGTCGTCGCCGTCGTCGGTGTCGTCGTCGTCGTGGTCGTTGTCGGCGTCGTCGAAGTCGTTGGAGACGTCGTCGGTGTCGTCGTAGTTGTTGTCGGCGGCGTCGTCGTCGTCGTTGTCGCTGTCGTCAACGGCGTCGCTGTCGTTGCCAAGTGCCATTTGGTACCCACCGTCATGGTCTTGAGAGATTTTGCAAACCAAGACGCGGGTGGGTGGGTGGGATGTTTGCGCGAGCAGTGGAGTGGACAACTCACTGCGAACAGAAATTACTTGCACCACGTAGATTCTCCTTTCTTAAAAAGGAAAAGGTTCTACCCCGCCCCCCCCTGGGTTATAAAGACCCCCCGGGAACCGATGCAAAACGCAGAGGATTCAGACCCAATGTCCACCCTACCTGTGAATTCATACTATCCCAGCCCAACCGGCACCAGCGCCCCCTGCCATCCTCTGCAACAGCTTCTATGTGCGCACACTCGTTTATCACAAATCATAAGTTTTCAAAAATCCCTTGCAAAACATGGGAGTGCACGCGCGCGCGTCGTCGCGCGCGCATGCCGGAATCCTTCAAAAACCTTTGGTTTCGGAAGGATTTCAAAATCGAGCTTACAAACAAAACACACAAAAACATATGGTTTCTCAACGCTGATGTTCTACAAAAGCTCACACGCGCGCTCTTGCGAAATCCTAAGAAAAACACGCGTTCTTCAATCTTTTCAACAAATTCTACAAAACGGACGTGCCGTCGCGAGAATCCTCTTCAACAAATTGACGAAGTACACGCGCGCGCGTCGTCGCGCGCGCATGCCGAAATCCTTCAAAAACCTGTGGTGTCGGAAGGATTTCAAAATCGAGTTTCAAAAAAACATACAAAAACAAAGGGTTTAGCAACACGGGATTTTAAAACAAAAGCGTGCGCGCGCGCTCGTGCGTCGTCGTCCTCTGTCTTTCCTCGTCGTTGTCGTCGTCATCTTTGGCGTCGTCGTCGTTTCCGTCGTCGTTGTCGCCGTGGTCGTCCTTCCTGCTCCCTCGTCGTCGTCGTCGTCGTCGTCGTCCGTCGTCGGCGTCTCGTCGTCGTTCCTCCTATTTCGTCGCCGTCGTCGTCGTCGTCGTCGTCTTCCCTCCTCCCTCGTCGGTGTCGTCGTCGGCGTCGCCATCCTCCTTCCTTCTTCGTCGTTCGCGTCGTCGCCGTCCTCCCTCCTTCCTCGTCGTTGTCGTCGTTGTCGCCGTCGTCGTCCTCCCTCCTGCCTCGTCGTCGTCGTCTGCGTTGGCGACGTCGTCTTCGTCGTCGTCGGCGTCGGCGTCGTCGTCGTCATCGTCGTCGTCGACGTCGTCGTCGTAGTCGTTGTCGTCGTCCTCGTCGTCGGCGTCGTCGACGTCGCCGTCGTCGTCGTCGTCGTCGTCGTCGTCGTCAGCGTCGTCGTCGTCGGCGTCGGCGTCGTCGTCGTCGTCGTCGAAATCGTCGGAGACGTCGTCGGCGTCGTCGTCGTTGTCGCTGTCGTCGTCGTTGTCGCTGCCAAGTGCAATTTGGTACCCACCGTCACAGTGTTAAGAAGTTTTGCGACCAAGTTGCGGGTGGGAAGGTGGGATGTTTGCACTGGCAGTGGAAACGGCAGCGTCAAGACAATCAAAGTGAATTGCACAACGTAGATTGCACCGCATAGTTGCGCCACGTAAACTGCACACAATGGACTGCTAGAAACACAGCATCTGGGGCCCACGCTGGCTAACGATGTTTCCTCATACTCCTCACACTCCCCCTTTTCACACGGCCGTCCTACTCCTACTGCTCCTCATCGTGCATACGTATCATATGTATTAGCAACTTCCGCGAATCCTCCTTTTCCTTCCTCCTCCTCATCTTCCTCCTCATTTGCACCGTCAACGTCCTTTTGCTCATCTTCGTCCCCATCCTTTCCTCATCCCCTCCGTCATCAGCCCCATGCTTCCTGCGTCGGCGCTAAACCGCTGCGGGAGAGCCGATGAGAAAAACAATCAGCGGCACGTTTGAATCGAGTCGCACATTCCTTGGGGGATGCGCGCTCTGTGCACCTAGCGGATGGGGAAGGTGGGAGAGGAGGACAGAGCAGAGAAGACGGCGGAAGAGGAGGAGGGAGAGGATGAGGAGGGTGGAGGCATGGAGGAAAAAATGTAGAGAGGAGGGACACATGAGGAAGGAGGGGGGACTGGAGGATAGCAGGATTGGACGAATGGCGACTGCGAAGAAGGAGGGGGCAGGGAGGGGGCAGTCGGGTTGCGGGCTCCTCGTCGAGCATGATCTTGGAAGGCTCCACGACCAGATCGAGCGCCAGTGTGTCCTCTGAGGAGTCCCCATCCGCGAGGTTTCTTACTTTTCGACGATCGCCCGGATTATCGCGCGGGGGGGGAGGGCCCGTCCCCTCTGCCATCCCTGGCCATCTGCTTCACCCCCACGCGCCCCATCGTCCCCCCCCCCCCCTCCCCCCCCCTCCCCATATCCTCCACTCTTTGTTTTTTTGTTTCGCCCCCTTCCCCGCCAATTCCCCAGCGCCTCCACAAAGGCCTCTGGAGGACGACGCACTCACTCACTCACTCACCCACTCACTCATGCCATACGCCCGAGCGCGTGGGCGAAAACAAAGCACGGCCAGCCAATCCTCACCGCTCTGCGGGAGCGGCGGCACGGCGCGTCGGCGGTCGCATAATTTACAGCATGCGGAGGGAGAGGGGGTGAAGGAGGAGGAGAATGAGGAAGGAGGGAGGACAACCGACGAGCGGCTGATACGAATTCCGCCTGGAACGCATCAGGCCGAAGGCTGCAGCCAACCTGCGAAGATGCGCAGGCAGAATAACACAGAGAGCAGCTCAAAAATGCCCGCCGGCATCGCCGCACTGTTGTGTGTGGCGCTTTGCGAAGGCTTCCCGCTGCACTGGGTCCTGCACGCGCTGGAAGAGCAAAGCGTGCGAACTGAAACTCGCTGAAATCATTCGGCGCAGCCCAATTGCCCACTCGCGCTGCGGTCGTCCACGCTTCCGTTTGAGCGCGTCCGTGTAGAGAGCGCAGCGCCAGGCTGAAAAGTGGCGCGCCCCAAAAAATCCCGGCTCGAAGCCCTACCAATTTTCCTATGCAGCGCGAGCTGTTGCCGCAGAAGCTGGGTGCTGCTAGGGCCCAGCCGAGCCTGCTGCAACGCGGCCTCATTTGACACGCGCGACAAGAAAGAAAGCGGAATGTGTAAAACTATTATGGGGCACTTGGCTTGGCATCCATCCAGCCTCCATTTTCTGCTTGACTCAGCCACGCAGTTGAAAGGGAATGCACAACCTGGCTTGCGACAAAGCTTGAAACAATTCGATATTTCTGTTCTTGCCTACGGCCGCGTGCTTCCAGGTTCGCTCGCATTTAACAAATTCGGCCCATGCAGCCCCTAGCCGTTTGCTCTATTCTTTCGTTGCGCAACCTGAGCTGTTCAGGTTGATTCCTAGGTGTGACAAATGGTCCTGGGCAAGGATCGCGCGGCCTTCGGGGGCTCGCAAACGAATGCCGCGCCCGATCTGGATCAGCTCAAACTTACCCCCAATGCAACTCCATCCCAGCTCGTGCCCCAGCCCGCGCAACGGCAGCCGACAACTCTCGTGGATATTGGTGAGCCCTTCCCACTAGTAGAGCGTCGCCCGCGCGCTATAAGATTAGCGCGTCGCCGGCGCCCACCTCCGATCTCGCCTCTCGCCCCAACTTGTTCGCCGCATCTTTCATCAATGCGGCCACGGCCATCGCGAGAAGGAATGGCGACAGAGGGCAACCTCGAGCAATTCCTGATCGTTCTCGTCGCTGCCTGGACGCTCGGGGCCCATCAGATACGAAGAAACGGCGATCATTGTACATGTTTGCAATGAGAACACGCGTTTCCCGCGGGGCCCAGTGCCTCCGCAACGCGGCAACCATCGCGCCCATGTTGATCGAGTCGAACGGTTTCTTCTCATCAAGGGCAACGAACGCAATCTCCCCGTTCTCGGCCGCCTTGGCCGCCTCGATATACCTTCGGACCACGCGGGCCCCATCTCGCGCGCCTCGCCCACGCCTGAACCCGCGCCGCGTTGATGTGAGACGCCCCTCCGCCCCTGCTCGCTGGGGCCGCTCTGGCGATGGGGGTGCCGGCCACGCATGATAACCTTGCCGGCCTGTAGTTGTCGCAACTGTCGATGCGCCCTTGCCCTTGTAAATGGAGCTGATGCGGGGCCCCCTCCAGTTCTCTGGCATCGCGCCGGTTCCCCAGCAAACGTCGCGCACGTTTGCGAGCCACTGCAAGCCCCCCAGCGCCTGAGCAATTGATTGCCAATGCTCCGCTGGAATGTCGTCCGGGCCGCTTGCTTTTCCCCGCTTCAGAGTGGAGACTGTCATGCCAACCTCTTGTGTCGAAAACGGTGCTTCGTCTGCTGGCAGCTGGTCTCCGAACGGGGGTTCATCGGTCAACGTCGCCGGCCTTACCTCCCATTGAACCTTCTCAAAGAAATCGGCCATCGCGTCAACCCCTTTCAGCGTTCTCAACAAGTGCCCCATCCAGATATTTAGGCCGGCCTGGCTTCCGCTGTCGCAGCGCGCCCCAGCTACCGGCAGCCATGGCGGAGTCAGCCCCATGTGTTTTATCTTCTCTTGTGAACTCCTCACCCCCTTCAGACAGCGCCTCTCTTCCACTCGATTGCATTGGTTCCGCGCGGCACTGCGCTGATCGATCAAATCCAGCGCGCGCCGGGATGTCCGCGGCTTCCTTTTGTCAGAAACAAGCCGCGGAATAACTGATTCAGCAGCGATCGCTGCCGCGACGCATTTCCCCCGGGGATCCCCCGCGCGCCCGGCTGCGCAGCTATGTGGGTCGCAACGGAGAGCTTCCAGCAAGGCTGGCAAAAAGAGACTGAGTTCCAGGGTCCCTGAGAACTGTCTTGCCCTTCCGCTGGACTCGCTGCGGCGGCTGCCCTTCGTCGAGATGTCGCAGCGCGCCCGTAACCAAAGAAGGGTCTGTTGCGAGGGCGGCGTCGCCATGGCTTCGCAGTTCACGGACGCGGCGAAGAGTGGCGCCATCGCGCAGCAGCAGATCCGAGACATTGCACTTCGCCTCCGCGACGCCCCCCATGGGCTCCGCGCTTGCTTCCATGAAGGCGACCTCTTCGTGCGCGGGTCGATCGGAAAATGCATCTGCGACGATCGCGGACCGCCGGGCGCAGAACTCCACAAGCAAGTCCCCGTTCGGGGCGTCAACCTCGCTCAAGACCGCCTGCCAAGACAGATCTCCAACTGCGTCTTCTTCTGCCGGTCTGCGCGGCCAATTCTGGCATTGAGGTCGCCCCGGGTGACTTATGTGGCGTTGGCCGAGCGCGCCTCGAAGTGCGCGTCGCGGTCGCTGCAAGAACGCAGCCTCTCCGGCAGCGGTCGGAGGTCGCGGGGGGCGTAGACGCAATAGATTACGAAAGCCCCTTTCCCTAGTCGGAGCTTCAATTGGGCCGTTCGGTCGGAGATCTGCTTATGGCCCTTGATCTTCTGAGCGCCAGCAAGCGCCGCAATGAATCCAACTCCTGCCCAAGATCGTTAATCTGCGTCCGCTCCGGAAACTATAACATAGCATCCACTATTCTCGCCCTCGCACTCCTCCGCCTTGGTAGCCCGGGTCTCCTGCAAGCATGAGATGTGGATATCGTGCCTCCGCGCGTGTAGGATGATCTCTACGAGCTCGACGTCTGCGAGACCCCGCGCGTTCCGCGCGGCAAACTTGAGGTCGTGATGGGCTGCATTATGCGTGCATGACTTGTCAGGAAGGGTCGGAGGCATCTTTGCCCTTCCCGCCCCCGCCCGACGAAGGACAGGTGGCTTTGTTGCCTGGCCCGCCCCAATGGCGATCAATTGATTTACCAGGATTGGGTGAAACATATAATGAAACTCGGGCCATGCGCCCCTGGCGCCGTCAATTTGGCTTACCTTTGCCGGCGCCTTTGCTCGCGCGGGCTCTGCTTTGTGCGAGGCGGTCCTTCGCTTTCTGTCGGGCGGCCGTACATTCTGGTGAGCTCTGGAACTTGGCCCAGCATTCCCAGTCCGCGCCCAGTCAAAGTATCTTCAAGGTGTCCGCCTCAATGTCGCACGCATGATGTTACTGCCCCGGGCTTTGATGATGCCACTATCGGAATCAACTTTGAGGTGGCGTTTTTCGAATCCCCATTGTGTCAGCAAGTACCACAAGCCAAGCAGTAGTGAGGAAACGAATCGCGCATCGAGCGGGGCGTCAAGGTTGCACCATACTCTGATGTTGCCGGCCCTGGGTTGAAGCGACCTGGCAGCAACCTCTTGAAGATGAGCTTGAGCTTGTTGTGCCATGCCTGGGGTGTCAAACTGCAGGAACAAGATGCCCTTGAAGTTCTCGTCCGGGTCCCTTCTTGTAGGCTTTCGTTGCGACGAGGCGCGAGTCTGCCAGAGTTTGTTCCGCCCAATGTTCAGCATCGGCAAGAGAAGTTTGCGGATATCGTCCCAGGACGACAGTCGACGTGTCCCTCGGCTGCGCAGCTGGTGTTGCTGATCTCGGAGTAGTGGTCTGCGCGTGTTTGAGCGTATCTTTGAACTCATTGATTTCTTTGCGAAAGTCGAGCTGCATGACAGATCGTCTTCCATGTTGGTAGCCTGGATGTTGAGCTCGGCCACTTCTGCTTTGATGGTCGTCTTGAAGTCTCGGAGATCGGAAGTGATAGTTTCCTGAAGTTGCTTGAACTCGTGCCCGAGGGTCCGAACCATCTGCATGGTAAGTGCAAGATACGTCTGCCTTGATGGTTACCGGACCATCTTCTTCCAAGTCAATGTCGTCATCGTCGTCGATCTTGGGGCGTCGCCTGGTCCCTGGTGAGGTGGCGCCTCCAGGAAGATCCAGCTCACGAGGTTGATCATCACGTTCACGTTGTTGTGCCGTATCTTGGTCCATGTGTTCTGTCGGACTGACCAGCCTTGCCTGCTTCGGAGCGCTCTTTGGCGGCGGCGTGGACAAAGCATGTACTTCGGGTAGCTCGTCGTTTTGGTCCTGCTCGACCCGTTCGCGCCATGAACAGCTGTCGCACAAAGGGTACCTGGGGCGCGCGTTGCCAACTGCACCCGAAGAAAAAGACATCGCGGCCCACAGAGGTGGTACGAGAGTGGAGGGAATCGTGTGATAGCCCGGTCGGTTACGGTCAGGAAAGAGCCCAGTTCCTATCGAGACGATTTGCGGCTTGAGCCTTGAGCCAAACGACGACGACGAACCTTAACTTACCCTTCCTTGGAGCCCCCTCCCTCCCCTCCCCTCCTTCCCTCTGGGCCTTGGCGCTCGGGAAATCGGCGTCGGGCTCGGTGGTCAACGCCTGCCGCGGATGGCGAGCGCAGGCACCACCCTCTCTCTCTCTCTCTCTCCCGGAAACAAGGGATACCTCAGCCCTGAGCCGAAGTCCCCTTCGGTGACTTTGGCCCTGGCTCGCCTGCGAAGGCGGCCAGGTTACGTAAGAAGCGTTTCGAGCTAAGCCCGACCGTGGCGACAGGACTGGCCACGACCAAATCCGTTCGCTAGTCGGCTCGACGACGACGACGACGACGACGACGACGAGAGCACACGTGCGCGCGGGAGCGCGGGTTTTCCCATCGAACGCCTGCCAAGCCGAAACTTTGGCGGGCGACCGATCCCTATCCACCCTGCCGTGCAGTAGCAGCAGCATCGGCAGGGTAAAGGACGTGTGGGTGAGCGGAGTGGGGAGAGGTCCGAACACCACCCCCCAACAACCCAGACACCGCCTATGGGTGGGGGGGAACGGGGCTACTGTTGCAAAAGATGAATGTGCCTAAACAGCCGAAGGCAAAACACACACACAGCCTACAAATCAAAAACCAAAGATCGCACATAGGAATCTTACCACAGTGCCGCAACTGGTGAAGCCTGCCATCCCAGCGTTGATGAACTAAATGGCCGCATGGCGCTCAGCACATTCCTCCTCCTCCTCTTCCGCCTCACCCCTCACCCCGTCCCTCCGCCTGCTCCCTCATTATCCCTCCTCCCTCCTCCTTCGTTCTGCATCTCCCTTTCGACGTCCCCCTCTCCTCCGCCTCCTCATCCACATCCTGTTCCTACTGCCTCTTCGCTCCTCCCTCCTTCATCCTTCCTCCTCCTCCTGAAAGCCCTGGAGCGATCCATCATGATCTATCCCGATCCCAAGCCGGACTGGCCGCCTCCCTCGGGCCTCGATCCCAATCCGTCCCC